AGAGAGAGAGAGAGAGAGAGAGAGAGAGAGAAAGACACATATATATGTATGTATTTTAATTAAACTTTTTATTTTGAGATGTAGATTCACATACAGCTATAAGAAATAATAGAGGTCCTGGATACCTTTTGCCTAATTTTCCCTGATGGTATCATCTTGCAGAACTATAGCACTGTATCATGACCATGATATTGACATTGATACAGTCAAGATATAGAACATTGCCATCACCACGAGGATCCCTCATGTTACCCTTGTATAGCCATCCCCACTCCCACCGTAATCCTGGTAACCACTAATCTGTTCTGTGTTTCTGTATTTGACATTACAGTAAGTTATATAAATGGATTCACACTCTATGTGATCTTTTGGGATTGGCTTTTTTCACTCAGCATGATTCTCTGGAGAGAGAGGTTGTTATATTAATATTTCATTCCTTTTTTATAGCAGAGTAGTGTTCTGCGGCATGGATGTACCACAGTTTGTTTAACCATTGACCTGTTGAAGGACATCTAGGTTGTTTCCAGTTTTTGACTATTATGAATAAAGTGCTGTAATTATTGGTGCCCAAGTTTTTGTGTGAACATAAGTCTTCGTTTCTCCAGGCTGTGTGCCCAGGAGTGCAGTTGTTGGGTTGTATGATAGTTTCAGGTTTAGTTTGGTAAGAAACTGTCAAACTATTTTCCAGAGTAGGTATACCATTTTACGATCCCACCAGCAAGGTATGAGTGATCAAGTTTCTCCACATCCTTGACAGTATTTGGTGTTATCACTATTTTTTATTTTAGTGATTCTGCTAGGTTTGTAATGATATCTCATTGTGGCTTTAATTTTCATTTCTCTAATGTCTAATGATGTTGACCATCCTTTCATGTGCTCATTTGCTATCTGTATATGTTCTCCAGTAAAATGTCTCTTCATTTCTTTTGCTCATTTCTAATTGGATTGTTTGCTTTTTTACTGTTGAGTTTTAAGAGTTCTTTACATATCATAGATATTAATCCTTTGTTGGGTATGTGGTTTGGAAATATTTCCTCCTACTCTGTAGCTTATCATTTTATCTGCTTAGCAGAGTCTTTTGTGAAGCAAAAGTTTTTAATTTTGATGAAGTTGAACTTATTAATTTGTCCTTTTATGGATCATGCTTTTGATATCAAGCCTAAGAACTCTTTGCATAGGCCTAGATCCTAAAGATTTTCTCCTTGTTTTTTTTCTCAAAAGTTTTATAGTTTTACATTTTATATTTGTCTGTTATCCATTTTGAGTTAATTTTTGTATAAGGTGTGAGACTTAGGTAGAGTTTCTTTTTTTTTTTTGCCTCTGAATGTCAAATTGCTCCAGCTCCATTTGTTGAAAAGGCTCTCTTTACTCCACTGAATTGCTTTTTCACCTTTGTCCAGAAAGTCAGTTGGGTATATTTGTATATGAGTCTATTTTTGTGTTCTCTCTTCTGTTACATTAATCTATGTCTATCTCTCTGTCAATACCACACAATCTTGTTTATTGTGGCTATATAATACATCTTAAAATTAGTTAGACTGATTACTCTCACTTTATTCTTATTTTTCAAAATTGTTTTAGCTATTCTAGTTCATTTACCTTTCCATATAAATTTTAGAATAATCTTGTCTAATCTGTAAAAAAAAATTTCTGGGATTTTCATAGGAATTGAATTAAACCTGTGTATCAGTTGGAAGATAATTGAATGTCAGTTGGGGGAGACTGAATCTTTCAATCCATGAATGCATTATGTCTCACCACTTATTTAGATCTTCTTTGATTTCTTTCATCCATGTTACAGTTTTCAACATACAAATCCTGTAATCTTTTGTTAGATTGACAGC